AATGGAGCGATGTTGAATAATCCTTGCCAGCACCTTTCCCGGCACACACGCAAAACACAACCACACACACATATATACATAGCTGTCAACCCATACTGTTTACCCGTATTCGTGCACAGGGAAATTGAGTTTAGGTCCATACGGCGTACAGCCGTTTCAATACGGGCTTTGTAGGTTGAACGTTGAGATTTATAAGGGCACGGGGTGACCAATAAGGTCTGAACTGTTCTGTAATAAGGTAGGGCACTGATAAGGGGCTGATAGGTAGGTATATATGTATATACAGACATAAATATACATACCATACGCATATCCCTATATATGAACCTCAATCTTGAGGATTTCATGTGCACAATTGTGAACGTCATCATTCTTATTTTTAAACAGATTTATGTATCATGGAACCTCCTTTGCCAGTCCAAAAATATAAGAGTAGGTTTTTCCCCTTTTTTCTGGCAACAAAACAGGTGCTAAGTTGCTAAAACACCAAACGGAAACCTTTTTACAAGGAATAATGTCTGCATTAACCACAATACTTGCGGTCAGAATGCAAACAAAAAAACATACTCTGATAATATATTAATTTTTTGGCGTCCTCTGGTCTAACACCGTTTGAGACGAGGCTCAAAAGAAAGATGTCTCTGATGTGGACCAATCAGTTTCAAGGACAATGCATATATTATCAGAGTATGTTTTTTTGTTTGTATTCTCACCACGTATTGTGGTTAACGCAGACATGATTCTTTGTAAAAAGGTTTCATTTTTTTGTTTTAACAACTTAACACCTGTTTTTTGCCAGAAAAACGGGAAAACCCTATTCTTATATGTATGTATGTTGAACCTCTTTCACACCGTACGTAGGCAAAAGCTCCCACAGACTATTGGGACAAGTGCTGTTAGCAAAAACCTCTCAAGGCCGGAACAACACACGAGAGGGTGGGGTGGCCAGCACCACTCCTGGCCGCCTTCGTCTCAACATTGGCGATGTTTGAACATCACTGTGCCCGGCCACGCCGAGGACCGCTTCAGATAATTGTCACTGGTATCGGTCTCGGCCGTGGGCGGGAATCGAACTCGAGTCACCGGGTTCTCTGGCGCGCTCCCCCACGCTCACGACACCCACGTGTCCCTCACTCGACACGGAGACGGAGCCCGCATTCATGAACACACGCGCGCACACACATTGGTCAGTGCTTGTAAACACTGCGCGGCCGCACGCGATGTCACATAAATGCAGGGCGGCAGACAGACGCTATTATCACGCGGCGTGCACGCGGCTGCGTTCCGCGCGAACCTCTAATTAATAGCAAACGCAGATTCCTACCGCGGCGCGGAGGCAGTCAGCAGCCCCCCCCCCCCCCCCCCCGAAATGCCCCGCCCCCACCCCCCCCGAAATGCCCCACCCCCTCCCTCCCTCCAACACGCCACACCAGCCCCTCCCCTCTCTGTCTTCGCCAGTACTCAGCATCGCCCCCCCCACCCAAACCCCTCGCTCAACAATAATAATAATAATTATATGATTATTATTGTCCACACCGGTTCACCCCAACAACAAGAACAACAAACAGCCGCACCATTCGCCACGTCACATACAGCGCTCGTGCCAGGCTAGGTGCACTTTGTGAGGCCCGTCGTCACGTGGAAGGCGCTCGCTGCTGCAGGTCACAGGGCAGACCCGTGATGTTGTGGGTTCACTGCGTGAGCTGCCTTGCAAGACCCAACGCAGAAGATCCCCGAGTCTCATCTCCCAACGAAGCTCATGGTCCACCCTAAACCTCACGTGCACAGACCATGGCATATGCGGATAACTGATACGCAAATGGGAAATGAATTAATACAACTCCCAAGTGTTGTCATCGAGACCAGATGGTAGATCCAATAACGACGCAACGCCCGATCCACAAGTATAAGGAGACATCGCAGCGATGATACATTCCGCTACTCCTGGTTGTCCGGGCTTGACCACCAGGATGTGAAATAGAAGTCTTTGCTTTGCATCTCCATCGGCAGCAGCCGTACGAACAAAATAAAGCAGCACCAGCGAATTATGTAAAAGCAGATATCATCATCCGCTGCAGCAATCATCATCATCATCAGTGACATCTTCAATTACGGAAACAATAATTATCATCATCAGCAACAAATGTGTAGCAACAGCGGCAGCAGAATTGTTAGAGAGGATGGTCTGGGGAAGGAGAAATCACCAAACGGCCAATGACGAGGCACAGGGCGCTGGGGCTTTGTCGACACGACCGGCTGTAGAGAGATGCACATCACGTGGCACGAGCCAACGCGATGCCATTTGTTTCTGAAGAAACTCAACACATTCGTCAATAAAAAAAAAATATATATAGATGTAAATATAAAAGAGACGACGTTTCGGGCCAAAGCCGCACAGCACGTAAATAGGCCAGAGAGATGGAGTGGATCACAATATTTGAAATTCAAACGGTGAAAATTAGTAAGACTCCGACTGAAAAGCCTTGGGGAGAAACTCCAAGAAGCCGAGGGAAAAAAACCCGAGGAAATGAGAGAGGAACTCAATGAACTTAAAGAGAAACACAGGAAACTGAGAGAGAAACCAAACAAACCGAGAGTACCCCAAGAAACTGAGAAAGAACCCCAATAAACTGAGACATAAACCCAATAAACTGAGTGAGAAACCCAAGAATCCGGTAGAGAAACCCAAGAAACTGAGAGAGAACTCCAATAAACTGAGAGAAACCCAAGAAACTGAGAACCCCAATAAACTGAAAGAGAAATCCAAGAAATTTCGATTTAAAGCTTTCGTGACTGCAAGGATTCATCTTCTTTGGTTCTTTCGGTAATGTCACGTAGAATGAGAATAAATAATAAATTGATAAAGCAAAATAACACAATAATATTCTCACGACGTTTCGGCCACAACACAAGCGGCCTTCATCAGGTGAAGGGACGAGACTGTCTGGAGGACAGCGCTGGAGTGAAAAAGCCACGCTCAGATCGCGACCTTTAAGCTGTGTGAGAAGAAACAAAGCGCCTTGACAAAGGAATTAGCATTGAATTTAGCATTGAAATGGCTGAGTGATTAGCTTGTGACTGGTCACAGAAATGGCTATGTTAAAGTTAAAGCATACACATCCGCAGAGGCACCCCTTGACAAAGGAATTAGCATATAATTTAGCATTGAAATAGCTAAGTTAAAGCATACACATCCGCAGAAGCACCGCTTGACAAAGGAATTAGCATAGAATTTAGCATTGAAATAGCTGAGTGATTAGATTGTAACTGGTCACAGAAATAGCTATGTTAAAGTCAGAGCATACACATTCACAGAGGCACCTAGTACAAATCAAACAGGAGAATTTACAGGAGATCGGCTGCTGAGCCGGTGGTTGGGCAACTTGGCAATGCGCCGGCATTTTCAACTGAGTTGGCGGTTCCCGCAGGTGAGTCAGGGTTTCCTTAATTCTGACCTCGCACGTGAACTGAACTTATTGTTTCCATTTTTCAACCACTTCTGACTCCTGTTGTAGTGTTTATAATGACGAATAAACTTCTCATGAGGCACACGCTGTTTATTGTAATTCTTCCCTTACACAGTGCCTAATACACAAAGGGGTATACGGACTACTCACCAGATACCCTAAGAAGGTACAGCCTCGGGACTTACAAACAGGTCTCTTTCTAACCTAAGGAGGTACAGCCTCCTGTCTTGGCGAGACTTACTCTCGAGTCTACCGCTATCCTAGAGTCCTCCGGCTTGGACCCAGGGGAGGCTATCTGACCCACTGCTGGCCCGGCGGGTCTTGACCACTGGATACGCCGAGCCTTATCCCTCAGAAGGGCTGGAAGGCTGGGTCCAGGGTCCTGTCTATCTTCAGCCCGGGCTTCGATCTTCGTGAAGGGAGAGAACTCCTCGCGCTCTGCGTGCTCACCCATTTGTGGCCAGGTCTAACCAATCCCACATTCACACGTGGAACTGTCTGATTGGTTCTTACCAAACTGTGGCTGTGATCACTTCACCACGTCAGACCCCAACCGTTATTCACACAGAGGTAACGCTGCACTGCCCCTTTGATACCTAGTGGCAATGCAGGTTACCGAACAGTGAGTAGTTAGCACCTCTACACAAGAAACAGAGAGAAACCCAAGAAACTGATAGAGAACCCCAAGAAACTGAAAGAGAAACTGATAGAGAAACCCAAGAAACTGAAAGAGAACCCCAATAAACTGAGAGAGAAACCCAATAAACAGAAATTCAAGAAACTGAAAGAGAAACCCAAGAAACTTAAAGAACCCCAAAAAACAGAGAAATTAAAGAAACTGAAAGAGAAACCCAAGAAACTGGAAGAGAAACCCAAGAAACTGATAGAACCCCAAGAAACCGAGAGAGAAACCCAAGAAACAGAGAGAACCCAAGAAACTGAAAGAGAAATCCAAGAAACTGAAAGAGAACCCTAAGAAACTGAGAGAAACCCAAGAAACTGAAAGAGAAACCCAAGAAGCTGAAAGAGAAACTCAAGAAACTGGGAAAGTAACCCAATAAACCGATAGAGAAACCTAAGAAACAGAGAGAAATCCAGGAAACCGATAGAGAAACCCAAGAAACCAAGAGAGAAACCCAAAAATTGAGAGAGAACCCCAAGAAACTGATAGAGAAACCCAAGAAACTGAAAGAGAACCCTAAGAAACTGAGAGAAACCCAAGAAACTGAAAGAAACCCAAGAAACAGAGAAACCCAGGAAACCGATAGAGAAACACAAGAAACTTAAAGCGAACCCCAAAAAACCGATAGAGAAGCCTAAGAAACCGATAGAGAAACCCAAGAAACCGAAAGAGAAACCCAAGAAACTGAGAGAAACCCAAGAAACCAAGAGAGAAACCCAAGCAACGGAGAGAGAACCCCAAACACTGAAAGAGAAACCCAACAAATTGAGAGAGACCCCCAAAAAACTGAGAGAGAAACCCAAGAAACAGAGAACCCAAGAAACTGAAAGAGAACCCTAAGAAACTGAGAGAAACCCAAGAAACTGAAAGAAACCCAAGAAACAGAGAAACCCAGGAAACCGATAGAGAAACCCAAGAAACTTAAAGCGAACCCCAAGAAACCGATAGAGAACCCCAAGAAACCGATAGAGAAACCGAGAGAGAAACCCAAGAAACTGGGAGAGAAACCCAAGAAACCGAGAGAGAATCCCAAGAAACTGCGAGAGAAACCCAAGAAACCGATAGAGAAACTCAAGAAAACCCAAGAAACTGAGAGAGAAACTCAAGAAATTTAAAGAGAAACCGAAGAAGCTGAAAGATAAAACCAGGAAACTGAGAGAAACCCAAGAAACCGAGAGAGAACCCTAAGAAACAGAGAAAAACTCAAGACATTTAAAGAGAAACCGAAGAAACTGATAGAAACCCAAGAAACCGAGAGAGAAACCCAAGAAACTGAAAGAGAAACCCATGAAACTGAGAGAGAACCCCAAGACACTGATAGAACCCCAAGAAACTGATAGAAACCCAAGAAACCGAGAGAGAACCCCAAGCATCTGAAAGAGAAACCCATGAAACTGAGAGAGAAGCCCAAGAAACTGAGAGAACCCCAAGAAACCGAGAGAGAAACAGAGAGAAACCCAAGAAACCGAGAGAAACTCATGAAACTGAGAGAGAACCCCAGGAAACTGAGAGAGAAACCCAAGAAACAGAGGGAACCCAAGAAACTGAAAGAGAACCCTAAGAAACTGAGAGAAACCCAAGAAACTGAGAGAAACCCAAGAAACTGAGAGAAACCCAAGAAAATGAAAGATAAACCCAAGAAACTGGGATAGAAACCCAAGAAACTGATAGAAAACCCCAATAAACTGAAAGAAAAACCCAAGAAACTGATAGAGAAACCTGAGAAATCCAAGAAACTGATAGAACCCCAAGAAACCGAGAGAGACCCCAAGAAACTGAGAGAAACCCAAGAAACTGAAATAGAAACCTAAGAAACGGAGAGAGAAACCCAGGAAACCGATAGAGAAACCCAAGAAACTTAAAGCGACCCCCAAGAAACCGATAGAGAACCCAAGAAACTGAGAGAAACCCAAGAAACTGAGAGAAACCCAAGAAACCGAGAGAGATACCCAAGAAACTGGGAGATAAAACCAAGAAACTGAGAGAAACCCAAGGAACCGAGAGAGAACCCCAAGAAACTGAGAAAAACTTAAGACATTTAAAGAGAAACCGAAGAAGCTGAAAGAGAAACCTAAGAAACTGAGAGAGAAACCTAAGAAACTGAAAGAGAAACCCAAGAAACTGAAAGAGAACCCCAAGAAACCGATAAACCAAGAAACCGAGAGAAACTCAAATTTAAAGAGAAACTCAAGAAGTTTAAAGAGAAACCGTAGAAGCTGAAAGAGAAACCTAAGAAACCGAGAAATCCAAGAACCCGACAGAAACCCAAGAAACTTAGAGAACCCCAAGAAACCGATGGAGAACCCCAAGAAACTGAAAGAGAAACCCAAGAAACTGAAAGAGAACCCCAAGAAACTCAAAGAGAAACCGAAGAAGCTGAAAGATTAAACCAAGAAACTGGAATGGTTCGTTCTACAAGCAAAATGAGGGTACTCCCATGGGTTCCCCCTTGTCACCAGTGATAGCCAATGTTTTCATGGAGAAATTTGAATCGGACGTCATCCCGACTTCCACCCTCAGACCTTCCCTGTGGAAGAGATATGTGGATGACACTTTCGTCATTTGGCCACATGGCCTCCCAGCTCTGAACCTTTTCCTACACCACATCAATTCCAGACATCCCACCATCAAATTCACCATGGAAGTGGAGAAAGATGGCAAGCTACCATTCTTGGATGTTCTGTTTGAGAGGAGACCTGATGGCTCATTGGGGCATTCTGTCTACAGGAAACCCACCCACATAGATTCCTACTTGAAACCTGATTCCCACCACCACCCAGCTCAAAAGAATTCTCTCATCAAAATTTTATACCATAGGTTTCATGCATTTCGGACCAACACCACCTGACCAGTGACTTAAAACATGTACATCTGGCCCTCAAAAGGAATGGATGCTCTGACCGTACCATCCGCCAAGCTGTCTCTCCCTCCATACAGAAACAACCACTTGATACTCCGGTCAAAACCATCACACTACCATATATAGCAGGCGTCACTAAAAATATTTCCAAAATTCTAAACAAACGCAAGATCCAGGTCCGGTTCAATACAGTACACAAAATTCGTGATCTGATCCCATCCGTGAAGGATGTCATTCCTGACTTACAGTACCCCGGGGTTTACAAATTGAGTTGTACCTGCGGTGATTGCTATATCGGGGAGACGAAGCGACATGTCTCTGACCGAATTCGCGAGCACAAATCAGATTTGAAACACGGCAGAACGAATTATTCTGCCGTAGCTGATCACTGTTACAACGCTGTGGGTGATCACGATATAGTTTTCTCCGATACCAAGGTTCTTTGCAAACCCACGGGTTTTTATCAGAGATTTGTTCACGAGGCAATTCAGATTTACAAACATAGACACAATTTCAACCGAGAAGATGGTTTCAAATTAAGCAACCATTGGAAAGATGTTCTAAATCGAACCAAACATTAAACTAACTTTCAATGGTACAGTATATTTTTCAAGTAGTGGTACCCCAAACCTTCGTGCTTCCTTTTCTTCCCTTTCACACCCCCCCTCGCCGACCTGCACATGTTCACCTTTCATCATGCTAAGTCCGCAAATTAAATGCTATTTTTATGCTAATTCCTTTGTCAAGACACCTTGATTCCTCTCACACAAGCTTAAAGGTCGCGGTCTGAGCTTGGCTGTGTTTCACTCCAGCGCTGTCCTCGAGACAGTCTGGCCCCTTCACCTGATGAAGGCCGCTTGTGTTGTGGGCCGAAACGTCGTGATTTTTGTTTATTTTTTACCTACGTGACTTTACCGAATAGAACCATAGAGTATAGAAACCCAAGAAACTGAGAGAAACCCAAGGAACTGAAGAAACTGAGAGAGAAACCCAAGAAACTGAAAGAGAAACCCACGAAACTGAAATAGAAACCCAAGAAACTGAAATAGAAACCCAAGAAACCGAGAGAGAAACCCAAGATACCGAGAGAGAAACTCAATAAATTAAAAGACAAACCAAAGAAGCTTTAAGAGAAACACGAGAATCTGAGAGAAACCCAAGAAACTGAAAGAGAACCCCAAGAACCAGATATAGAAACTCAAGAAACCGAGAGAGAAACCCAAGATACCGAGAGAGAAACTCAATAAATTAAAAGACAAACCAAAGAAGCTTTAAGAGAAACACGAGAATCTGAGAGAAACCCAAGAAACTGAAAGAGAACCCCAAGAACCAGATATAGAAACTCAAGAAACCGAGAGAGAAACCCAAGAAACTGGGAGAGAAACCCAAGAAACTGAAAGAGAACCCCAAGAAACTTAGAGAAACCGAAGAAGCTGAAAGATAAAACCAAGAAACTGAGAGAAACCCAAGAAACTGAGAGAAACCAAAGAAACTGAAAGAGAAACCGAGAGAGAACCCCAAGAAACCGAGAGAGAAACCCAAGAAACCGAGAGAGAAACCGAGAGAGAAACCCAAGAAACTTAGAGAGAAACTCAATTAATTAAAAGACAAACCAAAGAAGCTGAAAGAGAAACACAAGAAACTGAGAGAAACCCAAGAACCCGATTGAGAAACCCAAGAAACTGAGAGAACCCCAATATACTGATAGAAACATTTCACGGTCTCAGAAGCAAGGACGCGTCCAACATTGGGGAAAATGCTGTTTTGAGGTGACTCGATGAAAATTAGATTACTAAATGAGTTTTCGCAGTAGCAATAGCGGACTAATGGTCCACCACTTAGTGAACACCCCTATAGCATTTGATTCCATTAATAACAATAACGTGTGATAGTTGTGATTAGTTTCCCACTTCTTTATCATATAACAACTGTGTGTGGGGGAATTGACAATAAGACCTGAACACCATGGACAGCAGCTGTCGGATAACCGTGAGCGTGAAGCGTAATAATCCTGGAGTCTGAACTTGACACCGTGGGGCCTGATGAGAAATTCATTGTTTTAGGGGTTCTTTTTTAATTGGCATAAGAATGGTTACCCACTGTGCCAACTGTCTGCGTTTTATCCGCCCGGCGCTCTGCTCGTTGTTGTGAGCGTTGCCCCTCTGCCCTCCGTTGCGACCTTCACGAACCTCCTCCACAGATAGACAACGTTTAGAAAGAAAAAGCGGAACAAATATAACGCACGACACAAAAAATCCAACGTACAGCCTTTAACAGACTGAGACTGTTGGAGCGAGTGCTGTTCACGAACACCAACTAACGCCCGGCCACCTTTGTCTCCCCTCCCCCCCCGTGGTGATGTTTTACACACCGCTCCAGGTACTCATTTAAGACTGAGTAGACCTAAGGTCAGCCCAAAACCGGTTCAAAATATTCCTCACCGATGCTGGTCGCCGGATTCGTAGCGCAATGCGTCACCGCTCCCCCCCCCTCCCCACACTCAGCCGCACGCGCGCGCGTTATTCCGCCTACACAGGCGCGCGATCTTTCTTCATTAATGCATTTCTCATTTCTCATCTCGATCAACGCCCTCCATTTACTTCTGAGGTCCTCTCCAAAAAAAAAAACAACAACAACATGAAGCCCACCATCTGAGCCGGATTGGATCTCAGCTGGTCGAGGGTCCCGGGTCATTTCCCCGCGCAGTTGCATGAAGCGAACACGGGGGGCGGGGGGGGGGGGTAGGGAGAGGGGAGGTGGTGTGGGGAGATGCAAGAGAGGGAGCAGCAGCAGCAGATAGGCGGGTAGGGTCCCGGCACTAATCTCTCTCTGATTCCTCCATACGCGCCGGCGTCTCGACAAACACCCAGACTCATGAATAGCTAAACAGCCTCATTCCATATTTTTTTTGGAGGGCGGTTTGTTGGGAAGGTGGGGGCGGAGTGTGGGGGGGGGGGCTGGGGGTATGTGTGGGGTGGGGGGCAGGAGAGATAAAGGGGGATGGGGTAGAGGAGCGGGAGGGGGGGGATAGAGAGTCCTTGCAGTGTGGGGTGGTTGGCGGTCGGAATTTATTGCAACGGGGTATCGTGCCACACGCCTGGCATGGCAGGGTTGGTGGATCACGTCGCAGATTTGATTTATTCAACTACTCACCCCGCCCTTCCCTCCCCTCCCTCCTCCCCCCCTTCCCCCTCCTCAAGGCCGTGGCGAGGAGATGCCAGCCCGGTCAAGCAAGGCTCGTGAACTTTGAACTAT